GCAGAACAACCACCCAATAAAGCATTACAATAATCTAACCTTGAGGTCATGAACGCATGAATTAACATTTCTGCATTTGACATTGAGAGCATAGGTCGTAATTTAGATATATTTTTGAGACGGAAAAATGTGGTTTTACAAATGCTAGAAACGTGGCTTTCTAACGAAAGATTGCTATCAAATAGCACACCTAGGTTCCTAACTGATGACGAAGAATTGACAGAGCAGTCATCAAGTGCAAGACAGTGTTCTAGGTTATTACATGCAGAGGTTTTAGGTCCGATAATTAACACCTCTGTTTTTTCAGAATTTAGCAGTAAGAAATTACTCGTCATCCAGTTTTTTATAACGACTATGCATTCCGTGAGTTTTGCAAATTGGTATGTTTCGCCGGGCCACGTAGAAATATAGAGCTGAGTGTCATCAGCATAACAGTGAAAGCTGACACCGTGTTTCCTGATGATATCTCCCAAGGGTAACAAGTAAACCGTGAAAAGTAACGGTCCTAGTACTGAGCCTTGAGGTACTCCATACTGCACTTGTGATTGTGTGTGTGTGTGTGTGTGTGAGACAGGCCTCAACTGGCAGCTGACGGATACAGGCTCTTTCATGAGGAGTGTTGTGCAAGTGTCTCACAAACATCTTCCTGCTTTTATCGTGCCGTTTCCTTCACTACCAAACACTGAAGCGCATGGAGGCGAGCGTCAGACCTGTGGACGTGTGTGAGTTCACACACCTGTAGACGCCGTCTCTCATCCGTCACGTTCAGATGGCAGCGAGAGCAGAGGCTTTCTGAATTATTAACCCAGAGGTCAGAGGTCAGAGCAGAGGTCGCAGGAGAAATCTGATGAGATGCAGCAGGTTTCAGTGTTCGAACAACAACAAAAATGAGCAGATCTGAAAAACATCAGTTTATAATGAACGAAAAACATAAAAACGAGGTATTGATCTTGATGGATCAGGAGCTTTAATGGAGTTTGATTTAGTGTTATTTTAGTATCATTGAGGTACTATTATAGTTTTTATGTTTTGTTTTGTTTTTAGAAATTATTTATTTTTTATAAAAAGTTTTTAAAGTTTTAGTTTTACTTTAAATATTTTATTTTTATTTTTATTTTGTTTTTGTATTTTTTTATTAGTTTTTTAGATGTCTATATAGTTTTTAATCATTTCTATTTCAGGTTTTGCTTAAGCTACTTTAGTACATCAAGATGAACTAAATGGCTTGAGAATGCAAGTGTGTGTGTGTGTGTGTGTGTATGTGTGTGTGTGTGTGT